CCCCCCCCCCCCCCCCTTTTTTATCTCCTCCTTTTATTTATCCTTTCTAGCATGACATGGCTATCTGAGTATCTTCTTTAATATGCAAAGACAGAGTCTTACCCATTAGTATCCAGTGAATATCATCCAATCGGGCAATATTTTACTTTTTAACTTAGAAAAAGATATAGATAGATTTATGCTGTTTTTTCAAGTACAAGAAGATCTTATTGGTCATTTTGGTTGCAGTCTTTGTTCTGAAATGCGTCCATTTTTTTTCTGCTTTCATCAGGAAATTGTGATGTTATTATTAGAATCCAATGCAGACACTACAGTGATAAACGGCGAGGGACAAACAGCTGCTAATGTAGCACAGGACAAGGAGGTCAAGGTCATGTTAGAAGGTATTTTTTTTATTTTCCGTTTTATATTACAAAAAATGTGTGTATGGTGCAGTATTCGTTCCCACAAGATGGCACTCAGGCGATCAGATAACAATACAGCCAGTTTACCTAAAACAGCGTGGTACGGCGAAACACAATTTCATTATGTCCTCATAAAACTGATCTTAAAGTGACCCTAAACGCAGAAGTTAAATCTTAATTCAAGTACCTTAACTATTAACAAAATGTAGCCTATTTGAGTATCACGCGGCTGTAGATCCTCCAAATCCTCTCTAAATTCATGCTGACACTGTCCTTCTGGGGGCTGACTACTTTTGTTCCCCATGGTCCCTGTGTGTGTTGTAATGTAACCACCACTCCAAACTCACTCGTGTAATAGACTACAGTCTCACGTTTGGTTTACTCATTTGTATTGAGCTTGTAGTTTCACAGGAGCGAGCAAGGAGCAGTGCCTACTTTACAACATCTATCTATGGGGGTATAGACCACGTTAAAATCTGACAGAAGCCCTAACCTTTCCCCTTCAAAAAAGAGAATTGATGTGGCTGGGGATGGGTTTAATTTGCAGAACACCTTGTACACATGGAATGTCAAATCAACCTGAAAATAGAATACTCCTATTTCTCCTATTTCAGACCCTAGGGCTTGGTGGGATAGATGTTTAAAAGGAGAACTATGGGATTAAGGCTGTTCTCCATAGTTCTCCTTAGGGTAACGGGAGGACACAAACTAGCGCCCTCCCGTCATTCTAAGCTCAGTATACTGCGAGCTGTAGCTCGTGGTATACCAAGACGCTGAAGCGGATGCCGACAATTATGTCTGGATCCACCCAGCTGCGTGACTGACAGCTGGCTCTGCCTATCCAGTGTAATGACTCGGCGCCCGACCTGATTGGCCGGGAGGCCGATTTCCATGCTCCCTCATCATGATGCGACGAGAGAGCATGAAGCCGGGAAGCATGCTCTCTCGTCATTACACACCACCAGACTTCTCGATTGGCCAGGAAGCTGGCTCCATGCTCCCTCATCGCTAGTGACGAGGGAGCATGCAGCCGGCTTCCCGGCCAATCAAGAAGCCGGGCAGCGTGTAATGACTCAGCGCCCAGCTTCCTGATAACGGAAGTATCGGGCCAGGCATTGGGCGAGTACTCGTACTCGCCCAATTACTCGGCATCGGCACCGATACTAGTATCGGTATTGGTGCATCCCTACTAATAATGCTACATAAACAGAATGAAGGACTGGTAGCACAGAAAAAAAGTTAGGGTTTGTTGTTTCCTGCAATGGAATTACATTTAGCAAAATGTTGCTGTAATGCTCATGAATCTTTGAATAATTATGTAACCAGCTGCACAACGAACTCAGGAAAGAAAATTGGAGGAAATCCTTCTGAATGCTGCAAGAGAGGGTGACATTGCAACAATATCAGAGCTGGTAAGCTAATGTTTTCTAAATTGTTGTGGCTTTTATTATTGTTGATCAGGCCAAACAAACTTTCAAGAATGCACAGAATGATTCTTGAGTTACTATTTAATGTATGCATTTCTTCTATAGCATATGAACATAACTCTTTTGATCTCTGTGCAAAAGTGTAAAAAGCATAAAACCGGACAACTAGGGTTTTTGGAAGGAATTGATTCATGGCAGCTTTCTGTGTGCAGCACAGATGGGGAGGGTCAGTAATAGAAGCCTATGTGGCTATGCTGGTATTGCCTGTCAGTTAAACCCTAGAAGCTTGCTGGCATTAGAGAAAACAGAAGGATGACTCCTCAATTTGCTGCTGTTCTTTTGTTGTCCTGCTGTTCTTTTGTTGTCCTATCAGGAGACTAGAAGTTTGCCATGAACAAAATGTGCTTCTTAACTGCAGTCGAGGTCCAGGCCCATCTTTTAACTTCCCATTTGATGTTTCTACTGCCTTTAAAAGAGAACTTTGGGGTAACCTTTTTTACCTCTCTTTAGGGTCATGAGAGGACATATACTAACGTCCTCCTGTGACCCAAAACTCAGTATATAGCGGGCTATTGCCAGCTATATGCTGAGGGCGCCGCAGCCGGGACGAATCCCGACAATACTGTCGAGATCCACCCACTGGCTGATTGACAATGGGCTCTGCCTATCTAGTGGCAGAGCCAGCTATGCCTGCTACCCCACCCGTCCGACCCTGCAGTCAGCGCTGGAGGATCAGAGAGGGGAGGGGGGAATCCCTGTGGGGAGCGATGACTGACGTTCACCGCTCTCTGCAGGGAGATGATCAGGAAGTGAGTGAGTGGCGGTATGTTTTTGCTCACTTCCCAATCAATAGAGCCAACGTGTGACAGTTTTAATACCACATGTCGGCTCTAACTATAGGCATGAATGTAATTCACTCACCCCATAGTTCTCCTCCTTTAAGTAAATATGCCAAGTGGTAAAATTAATGCTGAATAGTTGATGAGTATTCAGTAAAGAGTTGGGTTTTATAAAAGCGAATGGAGGGTCTAATGAGGTATAGAAGAGCATTCCAAAACGGCAGCATTAAATTACTTTTTTTTTTTTTTTTCTCTATAGCTAAACAGAGCAAAACCACCTGATATTAACTGCACTGACCAGATGGGCAACACCCCGTTGCATTGTGCTGTGTATCGGGGAATGAAGAAGTGTGCCTTAATACTTGTAAAAAGCGGCGCAAATGTTAATATCAAGAATAAGAATAGTAAGTCTTTAAATTGCTGATGGTACAAATGGGAATGTCATTTCCTTGATATAAACTAAACCATTTGGCATATGCCTATGCAGTATTTGGTCCCCAAATGCTCCAGGTAAAGAAGAACTGATAATTGAAAGCAACCACATCATAGACTGTATCTCAGTAGACTCTATATATTACTAAACATGTATTATACTTTTATGCTGGCAATGTGGAAATTGGTAGGTAGTTTGCAATGACTTTCAGGCGGCTTTTAATGACCAGATGGATGAATGCTATCTACCACTAGCCGTTTCTGTCCACACCTTACAATGATCGGTGTTGGTAGTAGGTTGCCAAGATCTATTCGCTTGTTTTGCAAATGTAGTTGTAGTGCTATATCCTTATGTTTATGACACATTTATACAGCTCCTTAGTAGCAGCTGTACAGGTTCTAGGTTCTAGGTAACTAGGTTCCCTAGCATACAGTGTGGAAAATAAATATTTGATCCTGCAGATTGTGTAAGTTTGCCTGCTTACAAAGGAATGAAAGGTCTATAATTTTATCATAGTTGTATTTTAAATGATAGAGACAGAATATCAACCAAAAATCCAGAAAAAAACACATGATACAAATGTTATAAATTGAGTTGCAGTTCAGTGAGTAAAATAAGTATATGATCCCCAAGCAACCAACAATAATTCTGGCTCCTCCCACAGACTGGCTATGTGGTACACAGATAAGTCCTGCCAATTTAAGAAGGTGCTCCTAAGACAAATATACAAGTATGTATATAAAAGACACCTGTCCACAGAATCTCTTTCTTCCATTCAAACCTCACCACCATGGGAAAGACCAAAGAGCTGTCAAAGTTTGTTAGGGACAAGATTGTAGACCTGCACAAGGCTGGAATAGGCTACAAGACTATCAGCAAGAAGCTTGGTGAGAAGGAAACAACTGATGAAGCCATTATTCGCAAATGGAAGGTATACAAAATTGCCATCAATCGCCCTCGGTCTGGAGCTCCATGCAAGATTTCAACTCATGGTGTAAGGATTATCATGAGGAACATGAGGGATCAGGCCGGAACTACACAGGAGGAGCTTGGGAATGATCTCAAGGCAGTTGGGACCACAGTCACCAAACAAACCATTGGTAACACAATACACGGCCATGGATTGAGATCCTGCAGCGCCTGCAAGGTCCCCCTGCTCAAGAACTCACATGTACAGGCCCGTCTGAAGTTTGCCAATGAACATCTAAATGATTCAGAGAAGGATTGGGAGAAAGTGCTGCGGTCAGATGAGACCAAAATTGAGCTCTTTGTCATTAACTTGACTTGCCGTGTTTAGAGGAAGAAAAATGCTGACTATGACCCTAAGAACACCATCCCTACAGTCAAACACGGAGGTGGAAACATTATGCTTTGGGGCTGTTTCTCTACTAAATGTACAGGTGGATTTTCCGTATTGAGGGGCCCATGGATGGGGCCATGTATTGTAAAATCTTGGATGAGAACCTCCTTCCCTCAGCCAGAACACTGAAGATGGGTCATGGATGGGACTTTCAGCAGGACAATGACCCAAAACATACCGCCAAGGCAACAAAACAGTGGCTCAAGAAGAAGTACATTAAGGTCATGGAGTGGCCTAGGCATTCTCCAGACCTTAATCCTTTAGAAACTTTATGGAGGGAACTGAACTGAAACTTCGAGTTGCCAAGCGACAGCCACAAACAGAGGCGTCTCTAGAGTTTGCAAGGCCTTAGGCAAAACCTAAACATGAGGCCCCACTCAGGCCTGTGGGGTCTTACCAGGGCTCTGTGGGGGCTAACCAGCTTGGTTAGACCCCACAGAGCCCTGGTGAGACCCCACAGAGCCCTGGTGAGACCCCACAGAGCCCTGGTGAGACCCCACAGAGCCCTGGTGAGACCCCACAGAGCCCTGGTGAGACCCCACAGAGCCCTGGTGAGACCCCACAGAGCCCTGGTGAGACCCCACAGAGCCCTGGTGAGACCCCAAACAGCCCTGGTTAAACTAGGGCCTTGTGGGGGTCTCAGCAGGGCTCTGTGATGGTCTCACCAGTCTTGGTGAAACCCCAAAGAGCCGTGGAGAGACCCTACAAAGCCCTGATTTAATCAGGGCTCTGTGGGGTCTCACTAGGGCTCTGTGGGGTCTCACCAGGGCTCTGTGGGGTCTAACCAGCTTGGTTAGACCCCACAGAGCCCTGGTCAAATCCAAAAGAGCCCACAGAACCATGTTGGGTAGGGTCCCAACATGGTTCTGTGGGGTTAAACCAGGGCTGGTGAAACCCCACAGAGCCCTGGTGAGACCCCAAAAGTGCACTGGTGAGACCCCACACAGGCCCGGTTAAACCAGGGCTCTGTAGGGTCTCACCAGCACCAAGGCTCTGTAGGGTCTAATCACTAGCCTGGTTAGACCCCTCAGAGCCCTGGTGAGACCCTCTGTGGAGCCTCACCAAGGTTCTGGGGAGTCTAACCAGCCTTGTTAGACCCACAGAGCCCCGGGCAGACCCCACAGAGCTCTGGTGAGACCCACAGAGCCCTGGTTAAACCTGTAGGGTCTCACCTGGGCTGTGTATGGCCTCACCAGCACCAAAAGAGCTCTGAGAGTCTCAGTTTGACAGCTACGTGGATGAGAGCTGACAACGCTACCTGGCTGCCGTCCTGACAGGGCAAACTAGGCGGCCGCGAGGCCCTCGGGAGCGCGAGGCCTAAGGCGACCGCCTAATTTGCCTAATTAAAGAGCCGCCTCTGGCCACAAAAAACTAATGATTTAGAGAAGATCTGTAAAGAAGAGTGGACCAAAATCCCTCTTGAGATCTGTGCAAACCTGGTAACTAACTACAAGAAACGTCTTACCTCTGTGTTTGCCCAATAAGGGTTTCTCCACCAAGGACTAAGTCATGTTTTGCTTGGAGATCAGATTCTTATTTTACTCACTGAACTGCAACTCCAATTTAGAACATTTGTGCCATGTGTTTTTTTCTGGATTTTTGGTTGATATTCTGTCGCTATCATTTAAAATACACCTATGATAAAAATGATAGACCTTTCATTTCTTTGAAGTGGGCAAACTTACAAAACCTGCAGGAAATCAAATCTTTATTTTCCACACTGTATATGAAGCATCAGGCAATATTTAATTGATGTGCTCAAGTCCTTCTGCTGTAAGCCACACCCCCTTGAACTTGAAATGTTAAGGACAGAAATGATCAATTTAGTAATTCCTGTCCTCAGGAGAGAAGAAACACTCATTCAAACAAAGCTGGTTCGTACAAGAGAACAAATCCAATCTGTAAACTGTATTTATTACTTGATGCAATCATTTATGAATTTTATTTATGCTGTTTCAGACCAAAAACCAAAAGACCTTGCTCAACATATTGAAATAAAGCAGGCCTTACAAACCAAGGCTGGAAAGGTGAGAACATTGATATGTGTATCCAACATTTATTTAGTCTTAAAGGTTAACTATCACAACTTGGACAGCTCAAACTGGGACTGATACAAAAAAACAAAAAACCCATACGCAGCAGTACCTTCAGTGTAAAACACATGCTGAAATAATCAGTAGTTTAGAAGGTTTAGGTAACTTAATTCTTAAATTTGCCTGTAGCAGTTGTCCTTGGCCCTACCCATTTTTCATGGTGTCACATGGACATGATGTGACCAACGAGAAGATGAGAAAAGAGGGGCCAAGCTAAATGTATGCAGGAAAATAATTCTACCTCCAATATCGCTGGATCTGCCTTTTTATTTTTTAATTCTACTGGTTTCCTCTGAAGTGAAACCATATTATATATATTTTTTTTTGGATAGGCTTATTTTGAAATGTCCAGGTTCACTTTAATCACAACATCCAGATGACCTTTAAACATCATGGACTTCAGGTGGTTAGAGCAAGCTCACAAACACAGCAGTATAATTTTCTTGAGCCAGCTCCCAGCTATACAGTAAAAGTGATCACTTTTATAGGCTTGTAAAGCTGCCACCACAACTAACACCCCCGCCACCCTCCTTAGAGCCATGGTAAGTGCTTTCAGGATGGTGAGTGGGAGCAGATCGGGGAACATCTGTTCCCCGATCTGCTCTGTGATAGCTGAACAAGGAAACTCTTTCCTCTCAGCACTCCAAGATTCAGAGCTGTCACATTCCCAGCTAAACAGCTAGCTGAAGTGGAGCTCTAATAGACCATTGATGTCTCCATAAAGAGAGGTAGGACTTCCCCTTATAACAATACAGTTAAGTGAAAAAAGTGTTAAAAATATTATAACATAAAACAAAATTAAAAACTGTGTAAAAGCCCTGGGCACACATACAAATGTAAACTCACGCTTAGGGCACGCACATGTATGTAAACAGTCATTTGTATTACAAGTTTAGTATTGCAACGAACACCAGCAGAGTGAAAGCAATAACTCTAGGGCCATCATTCGCAGTATACTCTAAATTGATGGCATGTAAAAGGTCTTAAAGCTTCACCTATGGACAATTTTGACTACCATAGTTTTTTCCAACGGGTGCATGCAATTTTAAGGCTAGGCATGTTTGGTATCTATATACTCTACGCAATCCTAGCTTTTATAATTGACATAAAAACTGGGTATTGTATTGTCTTTGTGTGCACAAAAATTTTTTTTCCTGAAATATGGATTTGATAAAAAATGCGCAAGTATTCTGTGACCGTAAACAAATTGCTACTGCCACCATTTTATTCTACAGGGCCTCTGCTTTCATAGACTTTATATAATTGATTTTGGAGTTCCAAGTAATTTTCTAGCAAAAAAAATGCAGATTTTATTGTGGGTGAAAAATGTAAAAGAATTGTTCCAGATGCAAAATAGTTAACATTTGCTATGTTCTAATGGCTCATGTTTTAATTTTCAGTATGTGGCTAAAAACCTCCAGCGATTTGAAGGTCCACTATGCAAGGTAATTCATTATTCTTTCATATTTGAAGTAACCTCTCATATGCCCTTGGCCGGCATGCACTTGTCAAGTCAGATAAGTTTGGTAATTACTCTTAAGTATGAGACTTAATTTGGCTCCTTTGGGAAAGAAAAGAAAACTAAGTATATCCTTTACCATGAAAGTTTAACAAAAATGGGTAACAAGCAGCAGACATTTCAAAAAGTTAATCTTCAGAGTCATTGGGCAACTGTAACAATGGCACCAATTCTAAATAGCTCCCTTTTTCTAAAAAAATATTTTTAAGTTAGAAGATCTAAATGGCACAGCTTTATCTGTGTTTATAGGGGAGTCTGCTATTAAATACAAAACGGTGTGATTTGATAGAGGTTGGAAGGCACCGATGAAAACAGACCTTGGAGCTATACCATGAAATGATTACCTTGAAATTGGCATAGTTCTATTATTTTTTTACATGGGAAAAATACACCATTTAAAGAGTATTTAAGATCAAACGTTTTTTTGTATTTTCTAGTAGTGTGGGTTTTGGAGAGAACCTTTTTGTAGGTTGTTATTGCAGTCTGTGTGCCCACTAGGGAGATTAACCCCCCACAATTTTTCTAGGTGACTATTGTCACCAGGACTGGGGGAAAAATCCAAAGTTTTGAGTTGTCACTGGGACAGTTATGAAGAGGAAATCTTCCAATACTTGTTTCAGTGACAACAGTAGGGGAACGGATTGTCTTCACTGTTAAAGAAATCCTTTCAATTCCTGCTGTGTCTGCATGACCGGAAATGAAAGTGACATTTAAACCTTCATTTTTTTTTATTTTCCGGTTTGTGTGGGCTAGGCTATTAAAACACTTTTTTTTTTAAATTTCCCCATTCTCTAGTGGTATCCAGACCGCTAGCGCCACTCCCCCTGCACGAGTGCCTCCATCAGCTAGCCGACTGATGTGAAGTCTCCTGTACATATACAGTCACGGCTGGGCCCACACCTAGCTTTGTGTGTCCATAGATGCACACAGCGTGCGGCCGGCCACGCCCTTGTGCAGTCACAGCTTGACTGATGGCAGAAGGAGCCTATGGCTCCTCTCCCCTCAGTACCCTCCCCCAGGAATCCTGAGTATCTTCCTGGTCGCGGTGGACGAGAAGAGCAGCTGCAGGTAAGTGTCAGGGGACAGAGATCTTAGGAAAGTGCTGGGTGTTTTATGCAGATAATGCATTAAGGCAAAACCAGCCTTTAATACTAATTTAAGGGAAATCTTTCCATTAGGACTTAAGCAGAAACAAATGTTGCGGGCCTTTTTATCCATTCCCTACTTTATAAAAAAAAAAAATTAGCTTTAGATCTACTTTAATGTAGAGAAACAAACTGGTGACAAGTTGCAGAAACATGCAATCAATACAAATTAAACAGATGTGTATGTAACAGTAAGTGGTTTCAGAATACCTAGATGTACAATAGGATCCATGCAGAAATAAAGAATAAAGTAATTCCATACTATGATTCCATACTCTGGAGCAGCTGTGCATGGTAACCAATCAGCATCCACCTTTTTATTTTCAAAGCTTAACTGAACAAAGTGAGGAAAGAAGCTGATTGGTTGCCATAGGCAACTGCTCCAGATTTTGCCTGCTTTAGTTTTGATAAATCCCCCCCCACTGTGTGCTCGTGTTTGAAAAGTACCCATTTTGTGCATATACACATTTTTGTTCAGAATGCTTCTTCATTATGAGTTATTGATAATGATGCCTTGCTTTTGTAGATTAGTTTTACTTGTGTACTGTACATGAATATGTTGCCAACCTTGTATTTCAGAGTTCACGTTTTTTTGGCTGGAAGCTCTTTTGGGTGGTCTTGGAGCATGGTGTCATTTCTTGGTACCAAAAACCGTGAGTATTTGTCTGCATTGTGGGTTTTTTTAGTTTTTTTTAAACTTGGTTCTGATATACAATAACCACAACCTAGGGATGTTCAGATACCAAGTACCGTACTTAGTACAACCACTGATACTTTTTTTTTTCCAGCTCCAAGATTAGACTAGAGAAAAACTCAAAAGCTTGGAGGCAGCTATAATTTTTAAGGAGCATTGGCTATGGGCTCCTGGGATTTGTGCATCCCTGTTTTAACGCCTAACCGACCAATGACCGGATTATCCCATCACGATCGTTCCGGTCATTAACGACCAGTGATGGGATGATCCTGTCATGTGGTAAAATGAGTGCTCATTGAGTTACTGCTGTTGCTGGTTCCTTAGGGGTCTGAGGCAGACGCTCAACAGCAGATTAGGTGGTCACAGCACTATGATCACAGCTTTAGCTGTTCGCTGTGATCACAGAGTTGTGACAGTCACAGAGCTGGGAGCAGCTCACTGTGCTGTGCAGCTGCGAGCCGGCTGTGTGTTTCAAACTGATGCAAAGTACTGTATTCTCCTCAGAGATACTAGTATCAAAGCTCCTGTAAACAAATAAAAAAAACTCTTTAGTACCCCCTAGCTGAAAAAAATAAGTTAAAATAGGTTTAATAAAAAAATTATAAGAAAATATAGTGCTGAGGAGGCCATTAAAGGTAAACCACATTCTAACACTCAAACGCAGCCCTGGAGAGACCCACATGCACCCCTGGTGACACCCAAAGGCAGCCCTGGTGCGGCACGAACGCAGCCCTGTGAGACCTGCATGCAGCCCTTGTGAGACCACACATAGCCCAGGTGAGCCGGTTGCCATTCTCCATTGCTGTATTATCATGGGTTGATGGGATCTGTAGTCCTCTATTGCTAGTTGCCATTCTTCATTGCCAAATAATCATGGATTGAGTTACAGTTCTTCATAATTATAAGGAAACTGCCCTAAAATCATTAGTCTGTATTGTTTTGGAAAACATGTCACATGTCCCTAAAGGCTAGGTTCAGATCTAAGCAAACCCGGGACGCGTGTAATCTTGTGCTAGTACAGACAGCGGTTGGCGTGCGGCCCCATTGATTTCAATGGGTGACATCCCCATTGAAATCTTTTGCGACGCACAGCGTTTTTGTATTCATTTACACTGGCAGAATCGCGGCGGCGCGACTGGGGTGCCATTAGAAAATAATCATCAGCTGTGGTGGGTGGCTCCGTGACCGCCAGGCAATCCTCGCGGTTTTGCACACGATTGCCGCAAAGGTCAGAGATCACTCAGATGTGAACCTAGCCTTAAGTATCAGTAATTGGTTTTGACAAGCACCTGAGGGAAATTACTTGGTCTTGAAAAAATGGTATTGGTGCATTCCTAGTATATAATATGTGTACAATACAGACTCATTTTTTTAGGACAGTGGGGGACTGCCGGGGCCCTGTCACAGCTGCAACCCTGGTAGTTCTCCTGAAAATGGCAAGCATCGGCACTGGTATCTGAACATCTCTACCCACCACAAAAACTTTTTTTATTTAATGTAAAGGTATTTGCTTCCTAATTGGGGTACAAATATTTGTAAACATTTCAAAACAGAGAGCGATTTATGTAACTGAATGTATTTATTTTTTATTATTATAGGTCAGATGCGCTTAACAGTGCTTATCGGAAAGGTTGTAAACACTTGACACAAGCCATCTGCACGGTAGAAACTGAGTTTTGTATTTATTTTAAATGTTTAATTAAATATGCATATAGTATCTGTGAACCTTGGTGCTCACAAATTATGAAACCTTTTGTACACATTTACAAATAAAAAAAAAATGTAACCAATAACTAGGAGTGAACTTTATCACTTGATGTTTCCTGTTAAGTGTGATTTTGGATTTACAGCTGCTTGTAATGAGTGCGTGCTGCTAGATAAGTCATTTTGCTAATTGGAGTTGATGTATTAATTGCTACTGATTATTACACTAGCACAAAATATAAGTAATGTATTTTGCTAAGGTATTGTGGTGTGGCTAAAGCCAAATGACAGCTTCATTGCATGTCCTGTGTCTAGAACTACACATTTTATATTTTGTTTTTCCTTGCTACCCAGTGCTGGATTGTTCCAGCACACAAGTCTATTATACAAAAGATGTTTCCATATACAAACAACATTTCAAATGCTTATGTGGCATCAACTTTTAGCCATTATAGGCTGTGTCTATAGAATCCCCTGCTATTTATTTAGCTCAAAAAGACTTGCCTACTGTGTATAAGAATCCCTTTCCTGCACAAGGGATTCATGCAGGTGGAATAAAGATTGTGATACTTCTGGCCTCCATCTAATTGCTAGATGGCTCTTGCCAGGGGCACTTAACCTAGGGATACCAGGTCCACTAATGGTGTGGCTGGGATAGCCCACCACACAAGCTCAGGAACTTTAGGATAGCCTTGTTGGTCATAGCAGGCAGAAAAAAACAATGCAGGGTACAAAGTGTAAGGAAGAATTGTAGTTGAGGTCAGATCAGAGCAATGCTACTCTAATGACTAGCTAGGAGGAACAGTACTAGACCTCAATTGCGGATGTTACCTTGTGTGTTGTGCAGTTCAAACCCGATAAGTGCAAGATTTATTTGTCCTCTGTGGGAGAGAGTCAAATAAGGTAGTGGTTATAAGGCTAGCACCAAATGCAGCTCAGGACTATATTACTTCAAATAGCCTCTGTAGCAGGATTTAAGAAACAAAAATAGTCCAACACTCAGTGGTGTTAGTACTCAGGCAAAAGGGACTATAATAAACAATGCGATATGAACTGCTCACTAATTTGACATACACAGTCCGTAATCACTGACACACACCCACACGTAAGGTATAGTAAATAAGGTATTTGCAATTAGAGTGAGTAAGTCTGTGCGACGTGCTAGAGGAATATGTTCATGGTTAACCTCAGGTAGTCCTCCATCAGAGGAAAATTTAACTAGTAGTATGCCAGGGTGCAGATCTGCAAATACGATGTGTAAGGGTTAATGCAGGTGGCTGCAGCACTGTCGGAGTCCAGATAGAGATCACAGAAATGTGTCACTTTATCTTCCCTCTCAGGATAGAGTGCAGAGAGGCAGTTTACATATTAATTCTTTCAGTATGGAGAACAAGTCAAAATGTCTCATAAACTTCCCCTCAGGATGGAGAGTGGGATTCAAAGTTATAATCCACCTATTCAGGATGGTAGAGCAGAGCAGCAGGTATTTTTAAACTTCCCTTCAGGATGGAGAAGGGAGGGAGATTGGAGATCCCTGGCGTCAGGAAAATTGCTTAAATGTAGCGCAAATCTCCCGGCTTTAAGAGCTAGGGGGAGGAACTGGGACCGGCCAGGCAGCCAGTCGTTACACACTTCGCGGCTAATTAGGAAGCCGGGCGGCGAGTCATTACACGCCTTCCGGCTTCCTTGATGGGACTTTCGGTATTGGCAAGTACCAACAAAAAAAATATTGGTACTCCATACCGAAAAACTGATATCGGTGCATCCCTAGTTAAGGGGAAGCCATACAACCAAAGTAAAGTACCAGGACAGAGACAAAGGCAAATTTAGGACTGGTGGTGGATAGATAGGCTTGAGATGACCAGAAAGGTTGGGTCAGCAATGGTGGTCAGTATGGAACAGACAGAGTGCACTCTCAGAGCTGATGTGCAGACTTATTCGTGGGTAGTAAGGAATTACCCCTTCATCACTGAACCGTAGCCATCTAGAAAATGCCATGTAATGCAGTGTGAACAGCATTTGTCCATTTTTTTTTTTTTTTTTTTTTTTTTTTTTTTTTTTTTTTCTGCTTTGGGGGTGGTGGGGGATCCATAAAAAATATGTCCATATACAGTATGTGGCCAACAGTTGACTGATGCTCCTATAATTACTATATTGTCCTTTTTCCACTATGTCTGGCATGCAAATGTGGTATGGGATGATGATAATGGATTAAAACTGATTGAATTACTCAGAGTAGCAGATTCTGGGCCCGGCATGTAAATATCTTTAGTTATACCTTTTTTACAAACTGCCAAATATTTAATTTACTTAATATTTTTTCCTTCAAGGGTAAATCCACAGATACTTCGTCTTTTACTGTAAAATGCTTTGATGATAGCATTCATCACTTCAAAGTCTTGCCCAAAAACCTGAGGCATACAAGAGAGGTAAGCTGAATTGCAGACATTTTAAATTAACTCTTTCTCGGGAGATCCTAATAACATTTTTTATATTTTCAAATGTTTCCAACCAGCTTCCTCTTTTAGAATATTTTAGCACATGAAATATATGTCAAAACAGTGCTCATTTACTACATATTTTAAGGCTCTAGAATCGGGGAAGAAAAATAAAGTACCCCCTCTTTTGAATTCTATGGTTTTACATATCAGGACATAAAATGTATATAATTTTATTTTTTAATATATATTTTTTTAATTCCATTTTTTCATATTTGTCCTCCAGGACTGGCTGGCTGCTATTGAGGAACACTCTGCTTATAGCACTCATTACTGCTCATCAGATCAGCTCAGTGATGAAGAAGATGAAGACATTGTGTTAGTTGAAGACATAAAGGAGTCACTAGAGGTAATAACAACAACCGTTATATTTGCAGTCATGAATATAGTTTGTGTAAGTGAATGGTTATTTGCCTTGAAACAAATGCTTGGCCTTTGTAATGTAAATGTGATATATACTTTTCCTTTTTTATACTTTTGTCTTACCCCTGAAAAATAATAGGCAAAGTTGTATGGTCTTGCTTCTCAGTTACTGCATGCTAATCCTATCTCTAGTATGACCAGATCTATACATACCTAAACTTGGATAAATTATCATTATCGCTCTGCATGATTTGTTGGTAGGGAGTTTAATGCCTTACACCTGTCTCTTTAGGTATGGCACACATTTTTTAAATTTTATTGTTTTTGCTCGCCTTATGGTTAATTTGCAGTGACTGCATCTAAATGCTTTGTGAACTGAATCACAGTAACTCCAGTGGGGGTCCAATGTACTGTATGTATTCATATTGTCCTAAAGAAATTATCCAAAGGCTGCACAGAAAGCAGAGTGTATGTAGTCTGCAAGGCTTTTCCATCTGTTCTAGGCTGCCCAAGTAATTCCCAGCTATCTTTATTAAACAAGCTAATTGTACTGAATAAAGTAGCAGTTGAGGACAAGCTGTCAGGTGTTTTACATATGGCAGTCCTTCTTTTGAACACTAGAGGGTATGTTTGATCCTTTTATTGAGCAGAGAACACTTGTGGCTTTTAGATTGTGATTTGCAAGCATCATGTGTTGATTGCATCCTTTAGATTGTATCTTGCAAAAGGTTTAAATGTAGGTTAATATCCTGAAAGCTTTAGCTTTTTTTGGATTTTTTTGAAAGTGCTCCTGTTGTATGAACCTTGTATTCTTTCTTCCTTCTGGATTCTCTAAAGCAAAAACAAAGTTAATGTGCATGTCCAGGCGTTTTCCCCCTTCGTTTTGGATTATGTGGGGAAGGGTCAGAACCTCTGTTCAATTTTAAAGGAGAACTATGGGGTCAGTGTTTTTCCCCATAGTTCTCCTTAGGGTACCGGGAGGACACAAACTAGCGTCCTCCCGTTACCCTAAGCTCAGTATACCGCGAGCTGTACTGAGACGCCGCAGCCGGAGCGGATCCCGACGTAGATGACGGGATCCGCCCAGCTGAGTGAGTGACAGCTGGCTCTGCCTATCTAGAGGCAGAGCCAGCTGTACCCGCCCCGTCCGTTCCTCCAGCCAGCGCTGGCAGATCGGAGAGGGGAATCCAGCCCCTCCCCCTGTCACGGCAGAGAGCCGTGACAGGATCGAGAGGTGAGCGAACCTGGTATTTGTTCGCTCACCTCCCGATCTACTGAGCCGACCTGTGACAGTCTCATTGTCACAGGTTGGCTAGAACTATGAGGTGAGTGGAAATCACTCATCTCATAGTTCTCCTTTAACTATTATCTGGGGCTCCATTAGAAAGATTTCCCCTCACTTTCAGTCCTGCTGACAATGTTTTTAATTTATTAACGAAGCACAGCAGAGCAATACATAACAAAAATGGAAACAAAAGTTTGGCTTGGCAAACACTTTTTAAGAACACCTTTCATTATATAAATGTGTATTATTATTATTATACAGGGTTTATATAGCGCCAATAGTTTGCACAGCGCTTTACAGAGTAAGTGTGCACCAAGTGACGTTAGACTCCCAACTTTATATTGTATGTGTTCTAGGTTTGTAATTCTGTAAGCAGTAAGGCTGGAGGATGATAATGATCCTCCAATAAATTGTGTCTTATAAAACAAGTCAGTAATAGCAACTCAATGGGGGGGATTTATCAAAACTAGAGCAGACAGAATCTAGAGCAGCTGTGCATGGCAACCAATCGGCTCTCTTCAGTTTGTTCAGTTAAGCTTTATAAATGTAAGAGATAAGCTGACTGGTTTCCATAGGCAACTGCTACAGATTTTGTCTGCTCCAGTTTTGTAAATTACTCTCAATGTGTCTGCATGAAAGATTCCAGCAGTAGCTGTAAGATCTACATTGGGAGGTGGGGGTTCTTTATCAGAAAGGTCACAGAAACCTTTTAAGCGCCACCCAGGCTCAAACGCTATTTGACATGTCCAATGAAGAGTATTCTATTTAGAACATTGGGTTTTTATTCCACCTGAGCTGAATTTTAATCTTTTAGCAGAAAGACATGGGAGCAGCATCAGGATATCTGTGTACAAAAAGCAAACCACTTGACTTACTAAGGTCCAATAAAATGGCTATAGACCACACTAGAAAAAGAAAATCAGAAAACTTGCAAAGCACAGAGTTCTTCCTAGCATGCAAATGTCTATCTTGGAATTATCTGGTTTACTGATGATAAAAATGCAGATAGAAGTTCTGTAAATCTTCAAAGTTTATGAAATGCTGACATTTATATTACTGTTTCATTATAGTATTATGCAGTCTTTACTTATTGCACATTATGATAATAAACCTATTATCTTCTTTAATTGCAGTAGGGATAGCAGTAGCATGATTATCTCATGATATTTTAAATCCCATGAAGAAGGCTGTCAATTAGATGAGTGAAGGATTATACTTAATAAGAAATATGGTTTCTGTAGCTTTGTGCTAAGAAATAGGTTAATCTAGCAATAGGCACTAGTTTGTGGTCAAATGTACCTACATGACCCAATAGCAAATGATCCTTATGGGGATGATGCTGAGTAAAAGTAAAGTATAAGGTGTTGCTTCATTAATCTATTGTTATGGGGCTACATGGGAGGAGCTTTGAAGCCACTGGAGCGTTTGAGACTGCATAGATTTTCTAGGGACAGCTCAACTGTGGCCCAGCGTACGTTCCCCAACAAAAGAGATCCAAGTTTGTTTTACAAAAATATACCAAGTTTGTTTTACAAAAATATAGCTTGATGGTATGTGTGCTGTATTAGTTAGCTTCCTTCTAATCCAGTTTCTGGCTTCCATTGAACACTTTAGGCACTCAAAAGGGGAGACAGGGTCTAAGAGAGAAGCCAGGTGGTTTGTGCACCTTTTGGGGGACAGGGCAGGATTTGGTTAGTAAAGACTTTCAGTGGTGTTAGCTGAGCAAAGAGCAGGGGGAGAATAGACATCCTGGCAAACCAATAAGTTCAATGTGCTGACTGTCGCTCATTTGAAAGGGGTTGTCGGCTAGTAACAGCAGTAGAGCGCATATAAGATACGACGTTGGTGATCTCCAGTGCCCCCGGATTAGGCTGAGATCTGCATGGGATTTCTGGGCACCAGTTAACACTGGTAGACAGTTCCCTAAAGATGAAAATAAGTTGCCCTACAGATGTGAGCCAGGCCACAAACAGCCAGCTTCATGCACTGTACAGTGCTTGTAATGAGAACACCATCATTTTTTTTTTTCTCATTACTGGCTACCCTATGGGCATACTGTGCGTTCCAGTTACTAAAACATACAAGTGGGCCTTCGCATAAAAGGATGCTTCATTCATCACTTCTAGCTTTCATGCAATTCTTTCATAGTGAAAAACTTTGGCCAGAAACCTCCTCCAGTAGTATATACATGTTCAAGCTGTAGAGACTTGCTTTAATCTTTTTGTAAATGACAAAAATGAAGATGTCTCTGGTAGGAACTATGATGTCAACTTTTGGCAGAGGAACAATGATTGCTCCAGTAGACATTCACATCTCTATTTTAACCAGCTGAGTGGACACATTGTTTTGTGTTTTGTATATCTGACAAACATTTAACTGTGTGCAATACAAAGTTCTATTCTTTTTTGGCAATATTGAGCAGAACTCTTTTAAGTAAGTTTAGTCAGTGGGTTGTATACAGAGTATAAATAAGAAGTCCGCATAGTTTCAGTTTGTGTCATTCTTTGTGAGCAAACTGTCTGTCTGTGGCCATCCTCACTCTCTGTCCTCATATTATCTCAAATCTCATATTATCAAAGATTGCACATGAACTGGGTAAAACCAAGCCAGACAAATTACATTTTCCCTGGACAGTGACCAGCCTTTGCAAGACCATGCTGCAAAATTGGAAAATCTAATGTTTATGGGCACTTTAAATCAGCGTTTCACAACCTTTTTGTTCACTCATGGCACACTTTACAATTATGCAACATCTCAAGGCACCCAGTCTAAATTGTAATGGATTTTAAGGGGTCAACTAACTACCAGGCATCCTGGTTGAGAAAGGTTGCATTGCTGGAATGTAAAAAAAAGATCTTAATAGAGAATTGAGTGGCCTATCTTTCCTGGAGAAAACGCTATTTCCAGACTTCAGTCCTGCTTCTGTAACAGAAGGCCTACAGTAGGTGCTTGGTCAGGAGATCTCTGTTGAAACGGAAAGGTTAGAGTTCAAATAGAATGATCTAGAGAAGCCTAGCCTGTTTTGTCAGATAATCGGCACCAAAACATTTTCCTACTGAAGCATATTTCATCCGCCGTGTTGGTCTTTATTCATCCCAGGAAGACTGTTTACATAGCTTTACGTTGACATTTGGGTACAGACCCATTTTAACCCCTTCGTGACTGACGACGACGGGGCTGTTTAAACAGACTCCCGGTGACTTTTGCCGCCGGGACTCTGTTTAAACTTGTAGAGCCGACTGTCGGCTTTACAACAGAAGCGATCCTGGCGACTTACCTGTCGCCAGATCGCTTATGCGTCCCGAAGAAGGGGCGCCCCCCCGCTGGACACCCCCGCCGTGCTTCCCGGGCTCCGTTGCCCCTCCTACGGGCCCGGGACCGGCGATCTTAGTGAAATAGCCAATAGGATTCTAGCTATGCATTCCTATGGTGGGTTTTTTTTTTCTTAATTATGGCGGCCCCCGATTGTCAAAAAAAAAACAGAGCAGAGAAAGGTCCCGACCTTTCCGGGAAAAGTGTCTCTCTCCCGGCGGCCGAGAGCCACTAGGCGACCCCTGGCAAATCGTCATTCGACCCCCGAGGGGGTCCCGACCCACAGGTTGAGAACCACTGATCTAAGGGATGGGAAATTTAAACTAGTTACCCAAAATAGTCAGACTTGCATATCATAGATGGGTCATTTCAGGGTCAGGCTAGAAAATTAAAGCTAGCATCTATTCTAACATCTCCCTGTATGTTCTGAATATCTCCATAAGGCAAAACTAGGATTATTGCTCTGGCCAACAGTGCTCTAAATGCTCCACTGAAGATCAAGTTTCTTTATTATTCGTAATAGAAATTGTGTTGCATGATTCCAGGGCTGTATTCAGGCATGATGCAGACCCACTTAAATGATGATGTCCATTTTTACAAGCTCTAGCCCTTTGTGAAATGTGACCAGTTTAGTAAAACGAATACTAGACTGTGCATTTAGAGATCGCATTGGATCTGCTTTATATTCAGAACTACGTTTACACTTGACAGACCTACAAACACGCTCAAAACAGATTGTTTCAGGTTTTCTGAACTATAAAGAGCCATATGACTCCCCTCAACATCCCCTGTACCCTTTTCCCCCTCTTGCAGCTCTGTGTAGCAACAAATGTACAGAGGTGACCAGAAGAGGGATACAAAGTAAGGAAAAAGTTATCACAATTTGTAGATTTTGAAGGTTGAATTTGTCCCCTCTAAGCCTGCTGCCCTAGATACTGGCCCATGAGTGCCGCCATGGTAAATCTAGTGTGCTTCATATATATGTAAATAAATACAACATTGTATTAATCTATTTTGTCCTTGTTCATAAGCAATCAACGGCTGTTGTAGAAAGAACTTGCCTTAAATGTTTGTTTCCCCAACAGGTAGCAAAACGTATTGCTCACTCTGTATATATTAAACAAATTATTACCTAACAACATTTTGTTTCTGAGCCTATGCAGACCCAGCTTGTTACTGCCGTTAATACTGAAACATTTCCTCCTCCTCCAGTTAGCTAAATTTACTCTTGGTGCTAAAACATTAATGTGCTGAAACAAGAGAAATGTGTCACCTTGAGGAGTGGATGAAGATGGCATGAGATAATCGTAGCTACCCTAGGATGTGCCTGATGGGAGTTTGGATACAACTAAATTTGGTATTCAAGGCGCTGTTGTTGAACTGAAACTTAATTTATGTTACTGTAACAAAATAGTGTAATACCCCAATAAACGTAAACAAATTGTATATCAACAATCAAATCAAATGTCCTAACCTGTCAAAAATGATCAGTGGACTTTAAATCAGCTTTTCCTCTAAAATATTTACTTGCTCCCACCCCTTCCTGCCTCATATGCTTATTGCACATTTACATGAAAGTAATTTTTTGATGAGACTCACATTTTTACTTGCTCGGACTTCAATATTTTTGTTTTAATTGTTTGGTAGATTAGCCAATAGGCATCCTGTCTCCCCTCTAAAAAATAACTGTTTGACACATTGTATACTCCCTAATCGACTCGTATAGTTGTGTATGGGGCAGAACTGTTGTAGAGCAATGCAAAGCAGGAAGCCAAGTCTGCATATGTAATGGACAGATGTGGCTAATTCCAAACCATACATAGAAATCCTTCCTTAAATGTTAAAACTGATTATAATATTGACATTAAAAAGGTGGACTTCCATCAAAATGAAAGGCCCACTTTGTGCACCGCATCCCACCCTCAAATACAAATGGTTTTTAAAAAGCCATTGAAAAATAAAGTTGGTACAAAAAACAAACAAACCAACACTTCTGGGAAGGTGACATCACCATGGGTGCTAAAAATCCCATGAGAATGTGCTCTTGCAGTGGGCTGTGGAGACCTTACCTGGAGATTTACCAGTAACTCTAAACCTCTAGCCATAACAAGCCAGTTGTGTGTCAAAGCATTATCTATCAAGACTTGATGCATCAGTTCCAAACATCCGTACGTGTTTATACATTACAGGTATTGGATGTAATGTTTATCTACCAATGAGAAAGCTAATGCTGCGTAGCTATGCAGTACCCCTTGTTGGATTTATTTTTATGTTTGTACACTATACAGATTGACAAATTGAATTTTCCATGTTAACAATCTGTAATGCTGTAAATGATATGCAGAATGAGAAAAAAAACCCATTCAACTTGGTTCATTGCTTCTGACTAGATCTGTGTCCTGCATTTATACTTCCAGAATGCTCAGCTTTGTCATCGGCATCTCGGCGAGGAAATATCCACATTTCTCACTGCCTTGAAGAACTGGGAGGACTCCAAAGGTACACTTTAATACTCTCTGCATTCTTATAAGTTTTATTGTTAACTTACACTAACAAATATGCTAATGCTAGCTCACTTCTGTGGGCTTTGCTGGGCTCTGGTTGAAATGTATCTATTTGACCTCGATTGTATTCTGTTCCTAAAACAAAATATGGCTTCTCACATTAAAGGTCCTCGCTTTACTTTTTTTTTTTTTAAATGAGATGCATTTTTTATTGAGAAAGTTTTTTGTCGTTGTACTGAAATAAACACATAAAAATAAGTTGTACAATAAGGGAGTGAAACAGGAAGTTTAAGATGGAAAAGAAAGATCATAACCATAATGCATCCATCATATAGGCCACCTTGCCTACAGGTGGCCAGATTATTATGACCACCTGACGTTTGTAGGCAAATTATCTACAATTAGCTATAATTTTGCGCTGAAGTTGCTAGAGGGCCAGACCATTATAAATAGGGAAGCAGGTTGTTGACCACGACAGTAGAAGTGATTTTTTTCTGAAGATATAGGTAAACAACGCGATTTAACAGCCTTTGAACGTGGGATGATTGTTGGCGCTCAAGCCATGGAACGAGTTTTAGCAAAACAGCAGAATTCGTTAAATGTTCAAGAGCAGCTGTTGTTAAAGTGTTTAAAGACTGGACTGTCAGCCGAAAATCTGGGTCTGAACGTGCGAATTGTGGCCGCCAGCGACTAGTCAATGTTAGGGCAGAACGGAGAGTGGCAAGACTGGTACAAGATAACAGAAGGGCAACAGTGCAGTGTCAGATTCCTCGCATCACCTTTCAACATCTCGTGGAGTCACAAGGCGGCCCAACAAAGTCATCTCGTGGCCCAACGAAGTACTGATGGGGTGGTCATAATAATCTGGCCACTAAGTGTATAATTAATCTTGCAAGATGTTGCCTATGAATTAAACATCTGGAAAAGCATATATATTGTGATCTAAAGTACATGTTCTGCAAGGATATCATATCTTAGTGTCTCAAAGACTCCCAAATAAAGATCTTTCTACCGTATTCTCCTTTTGTTACAAATATGGGTCAATATTTTTGTCTCAAGTGAGATGGATGCAATAAAGGGTGCAGGCCCTCTCCGTTTTATCAGTCCACCAACATAGGGTATGGTTACATAGGTACATTTAACCTTTCCTTGACACCAACCATGTTGACCAAGGAATCTGCATAGGATAACATCAGCTACTTCTTGCATGTGTAACCATCCTGACCACATCCTATTTAATTTTTTTCAGGCAACCCCGTTGATGGTTTATATATTTTATTTTTTTTTCTTTCAATTTATCCACATTGTGAACAAAATGGGTGGTATCCTTTTGTTTGTCACAAGCTTTCTGGCTAAGAATTTGAGTATGTTGTAGTGCTATTGTCATGCGTTGGTTGTCAGCTGGTAATTTTGAAGAGGCTCAAGATGCAGTTTATGGGAGTTATTTAAATTCGCTAAACTGAAGAGAGTAGGGCAATGCCAAAGCATGTAAAGCAAAGTGTCCATCCCTCTGACATCTAGGGCAAAAGGGAGAATCCCTACAGCCAAAGGGGGAGTCACTGTAGGGTTCTATAGACCCTATGTAAAATTTAACAACTGGGTATCCCTCATGGCCATTGAAAGGGAAACAAGGGGCGTATCTTGTAAAATTGTATTCCATTGTTGCTTTTCAGTAATTTGACCAATATCTTGTTCCCAATTTGATTTACAAGGGTGAGGGGGAGTAAGCCCCTGCAAATGGAGTAGGGTGGTATATATGTGCAATATAACACTCTTTTTAGCCATAGAGCTAAATATTGAGCATCTCAGCATGTTGGAAAGTAATAGAGCAAAGTTTTGTTACACTTGAAAGGTGTGCCTAAATAGCATGTATTGATAGACATATGCTTTAGGTATATGAAGTTCATCCTGTAGCTGTCGGGAAAAAGTTCAGAATGTTATTGGTAAAATAACTTCATAACTCAAAAGTTCATAATTTCTGGGAAAAGTGCATTATCCCATAAGGGAGTATAGTTATAGCTTGTATAGTGGAATAGGCTTTTCATTGTGTACTTGATTTTTTTGTACAAAGAGCAAGGGTGGGGGAAAAGTGTTGCGCAAAAGAAGAGTTTGCAGGTAAGAAGACAGGGAGTCTTCCAGGTATATGCAACATGAGAACATGGGTGAGGGCCACGTTGTCAGTGTTGGCTCCCCTAGCTAGATGATGTTGCTGTGCAGCTATGGGTTAGACTAGAGAGGGCCAACTCTCCCTCATCAGTAGAGTGCTGTAATAACTCTAATTGTAGTTTGGACTCTATTCTGGACTGGTTCACGAAATAATAAGTCTATCGTTTTAAATCCAGCATTATGGCCGATTTTTGTATTAAGTCTCACCATTGGCAACAGCAAGTAATGCCAACTTTTGATCTTCCCTCGCAAGTTGTTGATTGAGTTTCACATATTCTTTGCACTGTGCTGAAATGTTATTCCCAAGGTATTGAAATTTGGAGACTGTTTTTAGAGAAATGGCACATGTAGAAGGGGGTATTTAGTAATATAGGGTTAATTTATCTCAATTTATTTCCATCCGAAGAAGGAGCCAAACTTATGATTCATGGCAATGAGATTTTAGAGGGAAGGGGTGATATCTCCTAATAACAGTGCATCCTCTTTATATAAAACAGTTTTGCCCCTAATGAACCCTTTTAATATTAGTAGATTCTTGACTCATTATTGCCAATGGCTCTAGTGCTAACATAATTACTAGAGGTGACAGAAGGCAACCTTGTTGAGTTGCCCTGGTAAGACATAGGGGACCGGACCATTCACGGTTTATGTTCACTCAGGAAGACTGAAGAAGAGAGGTTTTAATTCCATTTGATAAAATAAGGGCTCAGGCCAAGGTGGGTGAGGTCCTCCCAAAGGGAACCCTTGGCAGCATCCATTGATAGCACAGCCATATTACCTACACTTTACTACACAGCAAAGGAGTATACTTGGACAAGTATAGAAGAGTTCACTTCTTTTGAGTGGTTCCTGAAGTCTCTAAATATTTTAGATTATAGCAAAGTTCTTAGCTTGCTATTATTTCCGCAGAGCACATGGAAAAGCAGGATAAAAAATTCCTCTATCTGTGTTGCGTGGAGATCCAGAGGTGTTGACCAGTGCCCGGAGGATTCTTGGAAGAAAATTAGGAACCATTAGGATGATGTGGTGGGAAATTGTGCCTGGAGCAAAAGTTCCCATGGGTATTAGAGACACGAGAGAATGAGCAGCCGCATAATGTAAACGCTTGCTGTCGGTGGAGCAAAAAGCCTAGTGTAAACCAAACTGTAGAAATCATCAGAAACATACAACATACCCACGCCTCCACCCCAATATGATGGGACAGA